CTATTCTTGTGCCAGTACCAGGCAGTTTTGAGAACAGTGGCTTTGTAATACAACTTGATATCTGGTATTGAGATCCCACCTACTTTGGTCTTTTTCAGGATTGCTGCAGCTATTCGGGGTCTTTTTTTATTCCAGATGAATTTTTGGAGAGTTCGTTCTAGATCTCTGAAGTATGCCGTTGGTATTTTAATGGGAAGTGCGTTGAATTTATAGATTGCTTTGGGTAGTATGGACATTTTAATGATGTTGATTCTACCAATCCATGAACACGGTATGTTCTTCCATCTGTTTATGTCTTCCTCTATATCTTTTTTCAACGTCCTGTAGTTTTCTGAGTAGAGGTCTTTTACCTCTTTAGTTAAGTTTATTCCTAGGTAGCTTAATTTTTTTGGTGCGATGGTAAACGGGATTGTTTTTATAATCTCTCTTTCTGAAAGTTCACTATTGGTGTATAGAAATGCCTCGGATTTCTTGGGGTTAATTTTGTATCCTGCTACATTGCCAAATTCATGTATTAAGTCCAGTAGCTTTTTGATGGAGTCTCTAGGGTTTTGTATGTATAATATCATGTCGTCTGCAAATAAGGACAGTTTTACTTCCTCTTTTCCAATTTGGATGCCTTTTATTTCTTCTTCTTGCCGAATTGCAATGGCTAACACTTCCAGTACTATGTTGAACAGGAGTGGTGAGAGGGGGCATCCCTGTCTTGTTCCTGTTCTTAGGGGAAATGGTGTTAGTTTTTGTCCATTGAGTATGATGTTGGCTGTGGGCCTGTCATATATGGCTTTTATTATGTTGAGGTATGATCCTTCTACTCCCACCTTGCTGAGAGCTTTTATCAAAAATGGGTGTTGAATTTTGTCAAATGCTTTTTCTGCATCAATTGATATGACCATGTGGTTTTTTTCTTTCAATTTGTTTATGTGATGTATCACGTTTATTGATTTGCGGATATTGTACCATCCTTGCATCCCTGGGATAAATCCTACTTGGTCATGGTGAATGATCTTTCTGATGTACTGCTGGATCCGATTTGCTAAGATTTTGTTGAGGATTTTGGCATCTATGTTCATGAGGGATATTGGCCTGTAATTCTCTTTCATTGTGTTGTCTTTACCTGGTTTTGGTATTAGGGTGATGCTGGCTTCATAGAATGAGCTTGGAAGTGTTCCTTCCTCTTGAATTTTTTGTAGTAGTCTGAGGAGGATAGGTTTTAGTTCTTCCTTGAATGTTTGGTAAAACTCCCCTGTGAAGCCGTCTGGTCCTGGGCTTTTGTTTGCTGGAAGCTTTTTGATGACTGCTTCAATTTCTTCCATAGTTATTGGCCTGTTGAGATTTTTAGATTCTTCCTGATTGAGTTTTGGAATGTTGTATTTTTCTAGGAATTTGTCCATTTCCTCCAGGTTGTCTAGTTTGTTGGAGTAGAGCTGTCCATAGTATTTTTTAACAATCATTTGTATTTCTGTGGGGTCTGTTGTTATTTCGCCTCTATCGTTTCTGATTTTGTTTATTTGGGTCCTCTCTCTTTGCTTCTTGGTGAGTCTGGCTAGAGGTTTGTCAATCTTGTTTATCCTTTCAAAGAACCAGCTCTTGGTTTCACTGATTTTCTGTATTGTTTTTTTGGTCTCTATGTCATTTATTTCTGCTCTAATCTTTATTATCTCCTTCCTTCTGCTCACTCTGGGGTTTTCTTGTTGCTCTCTTTCTAATTCTTTGAGTTGTAGAGTTAGATGATTTACTACCATTTTTTCTTGTTTGTTGAGATAGGCCTGTAGAGCTATAAACTTCCCTCTCAGGACTGCTTTCATTGTGTCCCATAGGTTTTGGATTGTTGTGTTTTCATTGTCATTAGTTTCCAGGATGTTTTGAATTTCTTCTTTGATTTCATTGGTAACCCAATCAATATTTAATAGCATGCTATTCAGCTTCCAGGTGTTTGAGTATTTTGGGTTGTTTTTATTGTAGTTTATTTCTAATATTATGCCATCGTGGTCTGCGAAGACGCTTTTTATGATTTCAATTTTCTTGAATTTGGGGATACTTTGCTTGTGACCCAATATATGGTCTATTTTTGAATATGTCCTATGAGCATTTGAGTAGAATGTATATTCCCTGGCTTTCGGGTGAAGTGTTCTGAAGATGTCTATTAAGTCCATCTGATCTAGTGAGTCATTTAGGATTGCTGTATCTTTGCTGATTATTTGTCTAGAGGACTTATCCAGTGCTGTCAGTGGTGTATTAAAGTCCCCTACTATGATTGTATTGTTGTCGATCTCTCCTTTGATATCTTCCAGGAGTTTTTTTATGAATTTGGGTGCTCCTGCATTGGGTGCATATATGTTTACCAGGGTTATATCTTCTTGTTGTATTGATCCCTTTAGTATTATGAAGTGGCCTTCCTTATCTCTTGAACACTCACTTTTTGCTGGAAGTTTTATGCACCGGCCCTAGCTTCTGTATATTCAACAGTCCTTGAAAAAGTACTTAATTTCTTTCTTGAAAATATATGAACATCTTTGTAATTTGAAAATAAACTCTTTGGATCAGCACAACTTTCCCCCCAGTTTTATTCTACTTTGGACTGTAAACCAAGCACACATGATCTATCTTGCAAATGAATGACTCCGTGCGGGCACGAGCTGGAGAACGTACGAGTGAGTGAAAGGGATATGTGGCAGAAGATCATTCTGTGGGGGGGATTTTTAACTGCTCTGATTTATGATAGTTGCCTGGCTGACTTGTGGTATGTGCTCAAAGCTGTTAAATCATTTACCTTTTTGTGAGTTCTTGTTGTTTTCCTGAATGAAGTTTCAGATTCATACGTATAAGTCTTCTGTCTAAATTAAATCTTATTTCCTTTCCCAAGATGCAAGCCTTTGGAGCCAAGTATCCATCGTTGCCTTCACTTTTTAATGAGGCTGGAAAGATGAACTAAGTATTGAGTCGACGTGGCTCTGCATTTGAAGTATCTTGAAAGTCTCTCATCATTTTTGATGATTTAGTAATAATGTAGTGGGTAGCTGGTAGTTGAGATTCTCCCATAAAATATCAGAATTGTTTTTCATTTTCTTTGATCACTTTATAATTTTGTGATTGGTTGCTTTTCTTTAAATGATATATTTCTATAGCTACTTAATGGTGTGTGTTGTTAATATGTGATTAATCTTTCGAGGGGAAGAATAATATGACTTTGTCCCTTCAAGGAGTATGTAATATAATTTCATTATTACTAACTCAAACGTCTGTAAAAGTGATTATGGATTTGGCTAAAGAAAAATGGACACTGTTGACAAATAACCTCAGAAAGGGGATAAGGAAACATCCTACTTCCCCCAAAACACTCACTATAAATATAAATTTTATTATACTTAATTAAAATGTTTAAGTTTTAGTAAGTATTTCCTTGTTGCAGTTTTTCCTGATTAATTAATTCTGTCAACAAATATTTGTTGAAAGTCTTCCAAGCCTTGTTCTAGGTGCTGGGAGTATAGTCCCCTTTATTCATGGGGGATACTTCCAAAAGCCCCAGTGGATGCCCAAACCCAGGGATGGCACCGAACCTTATGCTTACTATCTTTTTTGCTATACAGACATATACTTTATGGCTTTTCTTTGGCACACCCAAATTGCACTTTGGAGCATTATTAAGTAAACTGAAGGCTACTTGAACACAAGCACTTTGATACCAGGCCAGTAGATCTGATATCAGGATGAGGTAGTGAGGGTCGTGGGGGTTTCGTGCCAGTGAGGGTGGGGTTAGTATATACATACAGTGGGGACAAGCTGGACCACACAAGATTTCGTCATGGTGCTCAGAATGATGCACAATTTAAAACTTATGAATTGTTCATTTTTGAAATTTTCCATTTAATATTTTTGAACTGTAGTTGACCATCAGTAACTGAATCCTTGGCAAGCGACACTGTGGAGAAGCGGGGACTACTGTAGCAAATACCACAGAGGAAAACTGCCTTTGTGTGGTTGATAGTCTAATAAATCCTGACGAACTAGTTTATATTTTTTAAAAAACTTGTTATGTGAGCTTATTGAGCTTTCTATGAAAGACCCAAAAAGTGATATATTGCAGCCTAACTAATAAAGGAACCAAAATGAATAATTCAGGATTTGATTCCCAGGGCAGCATTGTGCAAAGGGGTGTGGTAAAACACCCTTTTTGTAGATTTGACATTTGAGCAGTAGCAGGTGCAAATTGTGGTGAATAAAATTAACTCAGCTATGAAGAATGTAACACGAAAAGCAGAAATTGTCAGGATTGTTTCCAAAAGGCATTGTGACTACGTCCTCCCAAACATGTATGAAAGCATTCTATAAGGCCAAAGACAAAATCATCCTTGCATTTGATCTAAGGAAAAGGATTTTTTTCCCTAAAAAAAACCCCCACTTGGGTTTGGTCAATTTTGGAGTTTTGAGGTTGGGGTAGAATTTTAGGCAGAGCTGATCCTAGTTACAAATGAGAAGGCAGAGTTTGGGCACCCACCCCTCCCGTCTCCTATTTACCCCTTCCTCCAGCTGACTTATGATGTCTCCTGCTATGCTCCCCTTGGGAGGAAAGTACTGGACCTTCCTTCCAAAGACCTGAGCTTCAGCTCCTCCTGTGCTATTTATCCTTCATGTGAGCATGAACAAGCCGTTTTGCCAAGCCTCAGTTTTCTCATCTACAAAATAGAGATAAGAATGCCAACCTCAGAGGGTAATGATGAATATTAAATAGCCTGTTTGTGAAAATGCCTTGAAATGATTAATAACGAGAATTAGCATAATAGCTAACACTTCTTTAAGGAATCGGGCAAGAAAGCCCTGAGAAAGACAGAAACTCTCTAGATACTAAAGACTGCCCAGTGGAATGGCGAGTGGTGGAGGTTTTATTTTGGTTAGTGCTTCTGCTAGATTGTGTCTTAAATTATACCATGGGTAAGGTTGCTTCTTCTGCCGACAGAACTTATGTCAAGCCCAGCTTATTCAGATCCCCAAGTACTCACTCTTGCCAGGCTGGTCCCAGATGGAACTTTATAAGGGACGTACTTCCTGTAGATATGACCAACTCTAGAACATGGAACATCGAACATTTCTCCTCCACACATCCAAACCTAAAGAGAGGTAATTTCAAAGTATGAAAAAAAGAAACCCAGAAAATTCCATACAAAAAAGCAAGTCTCAAAAATGTATTAAAATCTCTTAAAGTCTCAAAATGAGTAATTTCTTTTTATAATAAATAGCTAACCAAGAAAGAAAACCACATTTTCGAAAACCCAGATTCATAAAAGTATAGAGCCAAAATACTAGTTTAGTAAGATCTAATTTCCATAGACATCATGGCATTATTTTTATTCTAGAATTTTATTATAAACTAGAGGCCCAGTGCACAAAATCGTGCACTGGGGGGAGGGAGCCTTCAGCCCAGCCTGCACCCTCTCATAGTCTAGGACCCTCAGGGGATGTCCAACTGCCTTATGCGGGGATCAGGCCTAAGCTGGCAGGTGGACATCCCTCTCGCAGTCCAGGAGCCCTTGCTCCTTACTGCCCTCCTGCTTGCTGCTTCTTACCACTCACCTCGCTGCTCCTTAGTGTTGCTGCAGAAGCGGGAGAGGTTCCCACCACCACTGCTGTGCTTGCCAGCTGTGAGCCCGGCTTCTGGCTGAGCGATGCTCCCCCTGTGGGAGCACGCTGACCACCTGGGGGCAGCTACTGCATTGAGCGTCTGCCCCCCGGTGGTCAGTGCGCATCATAGCGACCAGTCATTCTGGTTGTTCTGCCCTAATGGTCACTTATGCTTTTATTATATAGATATTACATTGAACTGAAATTTAATGCTTACACATCTTAGTTATATAGATATTTGTTTTGAAAGCCTTGTGAAATCATTTGAAGAAGTAACATTAAATTTTAAATGTCAATTTAAAATATAAAAAATGGAATTTTTAAAATAAATTAATGAATTAAGGAACACATATCTATGCTTGAAGTTACATCTGCATGCTAATTTTCCCCACCCTTGATTTTTTTCTTAGGTAAAGAAATTAATTGGCTAGTGATATGGAAAAAGGAAATATTATGCCTGAGTTATATGTTAAAATGCTGTACTTATATATAGTAACAAAAATTAATTGGTTATATTTTATCATGACTACTCACTTAGACACACACTTAATAACGGTTTTATATATAACAGACTATTTACTACAAAAGGACAAATTAGACACATACTTAATCATGATTTTATATATAATAGACTACTTACTATAAAAGGACAAAGGACTATCCTATATAAGAGATAATATGCAAATTAACCCCCACACCCTCATAAATGGCTGCCTATGACCAGGCTGACAGGGGGGTTAGTGATGGACAACCAAATGACTGAACAAGCAGGCTGGGTGGGGCAACGAGGCTGGCAGCAGGAATAGTGAGGGGTGACCAAATGACTGAACAAGCAGACTGCGTGGGGAAACCAGGCCGGCAGGGGAGCCATGAGGGGCGATCAGGCTGGTGGTTGGTGGGGGCAGTAAGAGGTGACCATGCTGGCGGGGAGGGGGGGGAGTCAGGGGCAACCAGGCCAGAGGGGTGGGGTGCAGTTGGGGGTGACCAGGCTTGTGGGGGGGCAGTTGGGGGCAACCTGGCTGGCAGCGGGGGGCAGTTAGGGGCAATCAGGCCAGCAGGGGGGGCAGTTAGGGACAATCAGGCTGGCACACAGAGGCAGTGAGCGGCAATCAGGCAGGCAGGCAGGTGAGCGATTAGGAGCCAGTGGTCCAGGATTATGAGAGGGATGTCCGACTGCCAGTTTAGGCCCAATCCCCGAGGGGTCCCAGATTGGAGAGGGTGCAGGCTGGGCTGAGGAGACCCCCCCGACCCATGCACAAATTTCGTGCACCAGGTCTCTAGTTTACTATAAAAGAACTACTTACTATTAAAACAAAAATGCAGACATCATATGGGCTAGATTTTTAGCTATTTCAAATATAAGAAAAAAATTAAAAGGAATTAGATACTATTATGGTTAGTTTTATAAGTCAACTTGGCTGCACTACAGTGCCTAAATATTTGGTCAAATATTATTCTATACATTTTTATAATGGTGTTTTTTGAATGAGATTAACATTTAAATTGGTAGACTTTGAATAAAGCAGATTACCCTTCATAATGGAGATGGATTTTACCTAATCAGTTGAAGGCCTTAATAGAACAAAGACTGACCTCCCCAAAGCAAGAAGAATTCTATCAGCTATCTGCCTTTGGACTTGAATAATAGCTCTTCCCTGGGTCTTCAAACTGCTAGCCTACCTTACAGATTTTGGACTTACCAAGCTTCCCCAATGGTGTGAGCTGATTCATTAAAATAAATCTCTCCTTTTATATATGCATATCTTGTTGGCTCTGTTTCTCTGGAGAACCCTGACTAAAACAGGTACATAGATTGTTTTAAAGTATAATATTGAAAGGAAGAAAGATAAATGTTTATGTCTTAGCTTATATTCACTTCCTACTTTTCTCATTAAGAGGAATGACACCCCATCTAAGACTGGTGAACAAATAGTGATTAGAGTGAATGGAAGTCCAAGGGAAAGGGAATTCAATTATTAAGACAATATTAAGGCCCTGGCCAAGTGGCTCAGTTGTATGGAGCATTGTATGGTACACCAAAAGATTGCAGGTTCAATTCACAGTCAGGGTACATACCTAGGTTGTGGATTTGATCCCTTTGGAATGCACGTGGGAGGCAACCTATCAATGTTTCTCTTTCACATTGATGTTTTTTTCTCTCTCTAAAAATCAATAAAAAACATATCTTCGGGTGAGGATTTAAAAGAACAACAACAACAACAACAATACTCAGTTGTTCTAAATGGGTTTAGGACTACTCATGGTATTAATTTTAACTTGATGGGGTAGACATCAGAAGTATGTATGGATGATATAAAGCTGGTTGGGGCAGTTAACATTCTAAACTGTAGTACCAACATCCATAAAATCTCGAGAGGCTGGAGAGATTAAAGTTTAATAAAAAGGGTAAATATAAGAATCTGTCCCATTTCTAAAAGAATCAATGCATCCAGAGAAGGATGGGGTGGAAAAAGACTAAGCAGCATAAAACACACATCACCAACATGATATGAAGAGTTTAGGGAGTAAGAGTCCTGATCTATCTGACTAAAGTCTTATGCTAATTTCTGAATAAATGCTTTATATTCTCTTTTAAAGAGAATTACCAAAGTGGTAAAGGATGCAACTGTGTTTTAGGAAAAATAATGGAAAGAACTGGAGATGTGTAGTCTTGTTAAGACAAAATTCAGAGAAATATTTTTCAAATATTTAAAGACCTAATATTTGGAAGAGATGGTCTATAGAAACTCAAAGAGATAGAAAGGATTAATAGGAGAGAGCAATAAAAAGTCAATTTCAACTCCGTGGAAGGAAGGACTTTTTAATAGACAGAATGATTAAAGATGTGTTGAAATCAGTGGTAGATGACACTTTGGGGACAAGCATATAACTTTGAATGGATAGTTGATCTAGTTAACATTTTAAGGTAATTCTAATAATAAGAGTTAGCATTTATGAATCCTTACTATGCCCTTTTTCATTTAAAGCTCACAACTCAATGACAGAATTTACTATTTCCCCAATTACATAGGTGGGAAAATGGCAGTCTATTGGCCGAGTAACTTGCCCAAGGCCACATAACTGGCCACTACAAGAATGGAGATTTGAATACTAGTAGTATCACTCCAGTGTTCACATGCTTAATCAATATTCTATCTACAAAGTCAGGAAACTTTGTTTGTGGTGGTCCAGATAGTAAATACTTTTACTTTAGGCTTTTAGGTCATGTGGTTTCTCCTTCAACCAGGCAACTCTGCTAAGGACAAGGTGTGGCCATATTTTAATAAAACTTTGTTTACAAAAACAGGCAGTAGGCCATAGTTTGTTAACCCGTGTTCTACAAGGTACAAAGTCCTCTCAAACATTGAAATGCAATGATTCTATATGTGGGAGAGTGTGGAAAAATGCAGTTGGATATTACAAAATCTCCCATTGCCCATGCTCCTCTACAATGTGACCTTGGTACCCTCCCATGGAGGTGTGGGTCTACATTCCTTCTCCTTGAATTTGGGTGGGCTTGTGACTTTTAGACCAGGGGAGTATAGATGAAGTGAGTGAGGCTAGGTGATGAAAGGCAATGTAGCTGCCACCTATCCTCCGGGGCACTTGTTTTTATAACTGAGATGCCATGTAAAAAAATCTTGAGGCCTCCCCATTGTGAGAAAGTCTAGGCCACATGAGAAGTCATGTGAAGGTGCTTGGGGTCAATAGCCTCAGTGTTTTAATGCCCAGCCAGCATCAACTGCCAGACATGTAAGTGAAAATTCCTCTGCATGATTCTATATGTAGCTATTGAGTTACACCCAACTGAGGCCCCATATATCATGAAGCAGAAATGAGCTATACCTCTTTGAGCCTTCTCTAAATTTGGGACCCATAGAATGCATGAGCTTAATAAAATGGTTATTTTATGTTGTTAAATTCTTGGGTACTTTGTTTTGCACCAATAGTAACTGGAACTACATATTTCCAAATCCATGATAAAGGTGAACTGCTAACACATATAATCAAAACTTATGGATCACCCACCAATCTCATCCTATCTTATTGTGGGAAATACAGCTCTAGGTCTCACCAATTTCTCTTTTTACTTCTTCTTGGGTTATAGGTTATAATCATCTCCCTGCTAGTTTATAATATCCAGCTCCTCTGTATGAGATGGGGCTGTATGATTATTTCATGCCAGTGGAATGCGAACAGAAATGAGGTGCATTGCCTCTGGGCCAAAATAATTAAGAGTGGATTTCCTTTTCTACCTTCTTCAGGATTTACTGTTTTCTTCTGAGCCTGACAGACTACAGAAGATCCAGAGAAGGGGTCCTGGTTAGATGGTGGCATCACTAAATACATGGGGCCTCGGACCCTGACAACCTGGATGGAGCAGAGCAGGCTCCTCTCCCAAGCTGGGCCAAGTTGTGACAGGGCCAATAGAAGAACTTTGTTAGCAAGATTTTGGAATGTTTACAGCAGTGAGTCCACTCTAATAATT